CAGTGGCTTATTGGCTACTAAACCTTGCTCCACCCCTTAGATTCCTCCTTGAAGCTTCATGATGATAACTCACCACCTTTCGAAGACGTCACAGCTTATCGAAGGCTTGTTGGAAAACTTCTATATCTGACTACCACCAGACCTGACCTTGCATTCATCGTTCAACAGCTCAGCCAATTCATCTCACATCCTATGCAAGTTCATCATTCTGCAGCAATTCGAGTACTCAATTCTGTCAATTCTGTCATGTCTCCAGATGGCATCTATAAGCCCATCCCCCTATCCACCATCTCTCCAAATGGCATCTATAAGCCCATTCCCGCCATCACATTGCTGATACTCCAGCATGCGAGTGCAAATTTCTGGGCACTCTAGTGTCCAATCTCCTTTTACCTTCGAGCCGCGAAAGGCAAAGTTGCCAATCTAACTCTTCAGGTCTAAGAAGATTAAACAGGGGCAACTGTTGTACCCAAAACTTTGCCCTCCCATTTCCTCAACATTTTCTCACCACAAGACCCTTGGAGCTCAAGGTCAAGTTAGGGTTTACTCTGCTCAAGACTCCTCCTTGCACTGTTGACCCAAATTAGGGTTTGAGTTTGCACAAAGATGTTTTGACCTAAAATGCCTAGGATGACTTTCATGCTTCATATTGGACTCCCAAGTTTATCCATACCAAGTTTCAAGTCTTGATTCCAAACTTTGCCCAGTCAATTGGACAGTTGACCTAGAAATCAACTGTATTGGGGAAAAAGTCAACTGTGGTCAATTGACAGTCAAACCTCATGAAATTTGACCCTCATCAACATTATGAACTCATATGAACCATTTGGTCAAGTTTGGATCACAATTCCACAAGAAATTTGATCAGATCACCAAAAGGGCAAAATGGTCATTTTTAGGGTTTTGACTGCACAAAGGCAATTTTTGACTGTTTGACCTAACCAATGGCAAACCAAGCTCATATATGGACTCAAGCACTCAATGGCATTGTCTTGACATGTTCAACAAATTCAAAAGATCCCAAATGCACAAGATTGACAGATGAATTTTCCAGTCAACTGAGCCAAATTTGACTGTATACTGAAAAGTCAAACTTTGACTTTTTGGTCAAAATCAAGTGTCAAGATTCATTTTTCATCAAAACATTCTAAATTATGAAACTTGTTCATCAAGAAACCCAAAATTGCAAATTAGGGTTTAAAATGAAGAATTTTCATAACTTAGAATTTTTCTAAGTTATGAAAATCCCTAATTTTTTCCTAACTTTGTCCCATTTTTTCATCAAGATGCATTTGGATTCAAGGAAAACTCAAAACATGAAAGTTTCAGCCCATTGCAAAATCTACAACTTTGATTCACAAAGTTTCCTAAAAAGAAGCTTGTAGCTCAAGTTATGAGTTTTGGAACAAGGGTGCAAAACATTCTTAACTTAGAAAAATTTTGACCTATTCTAGGCAGGATTTTTTCCTAACTTCATGGCCACTTTTCACATGCTTCCACTTGGAATTTCAATTTGCATTACAAAGATATATTGTAGTACACATTCCAAGCTTTCCAAAATGTCCAAGAACTCATCAAAAAACCTTGTGGTTAGGGAGAATCGAATTTGGCAATATAGGCAAAAGTCACTTTGTTCATGAGCCATTTCCATGTTCATAATATGTGCATTTTCAAACTCAGCATATGCAAGCTACATTACAGGCCTCTAATCTCATTTACACTCATAAATTTAATGCCAATCCTTTGTGTTTAAGCCTTATCTTGTGTGTTTAACCATTGCATACAAGATTGAGCCATAAATGGAAAAAGCAATATATCCATTTTTGAAAAGTTGAACTTTATGTCAAGATTGCAATCTTTGAAGTACAAGGCAAATACTTTTGGCACAAGTTCAGGGACATATCACACTGATTAAGACTCAAGTGTGCATCACATTTGAGGGGCCTGCACAAGTCTAGAAACCAAGTTGACAATTTTTGCTTAAGTTAGAAGAAACCTTGCATTTTGTAACACAACTCTCATTGCTGCAAGAACTGGCTTAGACAAACTTGTTAGACACATCCCAAACAACATAACTGAGCTAAGGCACGACCAAAACACCTTCCAAACCTCACCATTCATCAAAACACCCTCCTACTGCAAAAAACAGAGTCACCTCTGCAGTTGGACTTCCATAACTCAATCCACTCGTGCATTCTTGCTAAAACCAGTTCATACACACTCCATACCACATATACAAGCTATCTCAAGCATTGGACACGACCTGTAACACCTCTAACCAACTTCACCATTTTCACTTTTTCTGTTTTGCAGGTTGATTGCCATAGCTTGATTCACTTGGTTTCAAAGCAAGCTAAAGGTTGGAATAGCATCCCCGGACTTCAAGCAAGATGTACCAATCCTCACCTTGCCTTGAAAGTGCCTCCATTGCCAGACACGATCCAAGCTGAACAGGTAAGTTCATGGACTTCTATCTCTCAATATAGGAAGAGTTAGCTTTAAGTTTATGAATGAAAAATGTTCTACTCATGGCCCTGAAGCTATACATATCCTCACTTTCCATTTATATTGCATATGCTGAGAGAATTTAAAACCTGAACATTGACAAAAACTTAGGTCAAGAATTAGGGATGGAGAAATTCTCTCTCATTTCTTAGAGTTAAGTTAAGTTTTTTATATGTATGGAATCGTGGCTTGATGCTTAACATCTTTCATGTTATAAGTTTGTGCTAAAAGTCCAGGAATCAGGATGTTTGAACCAGGAGGGAAGGCGCGCATTTTTTGAAATTTTTGTCTGAAGGTTGAAGACAACCTTTCATGGGTTGGGCCTGAGATTGCTTTTCCTTTTCACACCATTGCATTTCACATGCACCCCCTGGCCCATTTTGAGTTTTATTTATCATTTTTATTTTTTTCCTTTTGATTTTGGTTCTATATTTTTATTTAAGCATGAAAAAATATTAAAATTATTTTTCTCACATTTTTTGCATTTTATTTGATATTTATTTGGTTTCATTTAAGTTTTGTACATAAATAAACATAAATATACTTTTATTTAAAATAACTAAAAATAATACAAATATATTTATTTTCTGATTTCATTTTATTTTATCTTTTTGAAAACATTTTATAAAAATATACCTTTTTTTTTGTAAATATTAAATACTTAATTTTTGTACATATTTAATATATTTAATAAATAATATACATACTTATATATTTATTAGGATATTTAGGATAAAAATACAAAAATATACATTTTTATTTTTATTAATATTTAACATTAAAAATACCTTTTTGACAAATATACTTCTCTTTTATTTATTTTTTTTGTATATAATTAATAAATATTGTATATAATACATAATAAATAATTAATACCTTTTATTTAGCAAAATTAGGGTTTTTGCCCTAAACATGAAAATATTCAAAAATTAATTTTCTTTTAATTATTTTTATTTTATTTGTGAATAAAATATACACTTACACAAAAATACCTTCACATACATATTGCTTTATTCTTATACATCTTTATATTTACATTTGCGCAATTCGATTTGGTTGTAAATATTGGACACTACTCTCCTATGAAGTCTCATCCCCATTTGAACATTTGTACCCCCATTCCCATGATTATTGTGTAATAATTTAGGACCTTTAAATTCCGCATTTAAAAGTTTTCTAATTATACCATGATAGAATTAGGGTTTTGTATGCAAATTAACCAAAAATAGTTTGACCTAAATTCAAGATAAACAAGCATGAAAATGGACAACACCAATCACACTTGCACCCCCTAGGGTTATTCCACTTGTTGCCTTCAATAATGGGTCATATTGCATGTTAAGTATCTTTGGCAAAAACAAAACAATCAAATGATCATAGTCCCTCGATGACGCTTTCAAAAGTTGCCTAAAAATGATCAAGTCCCTTAAAGGAAAAATTTCCCAAAGATACTTGGCACCATTGCAATCATGGTCTAAACGATGACCCGCGCCCGTCCCGTTCACATCCTAACACAAGATTGTCCACCAAATACAATGGTGGAACAAAATTGTTAAAAGGGTTAAAACATAGCAAAGATCTTTGAGTAAATTTAGGAGTAGACAACTCTTGGTTACTTGCCAACTTGCAAAACAAAACACTTGCCTATTTTTCAAAACACACATCACAACACACTTTCAAAACAACTTTAAAAAAAACATTGAAAACTTTTTCAAAAGACATACACCTTTGTATACATCCCAACATGGATCATTACAAAGGTTGCCACTACATTGGCCTCTTTTCAAAAACATTTTCAAACCCACACACACAAAGCACCATTTCAAACAATTGAAAATCAAGGAAAGTTGATCTAAGCAAGTAACTAAGAGTCCATGGATAACCATGGATAGAAAGGGTGCTAATACCTTCCCTTTCTATAATCTACTCCCCGAACCCAAGAAAACATCTCAAAGGTTTTTTGCTGTGCTTTTTAACCTTTCCTTAGGATAAAATAAAAAGTCGGTGGCGACTCTTGCTCAACCGAAACATTTGCGAAAACAAACGCAAAACCTCAAGTCAGTTCTCCCACCGTATCACACATATCGAAATTGACTGCCACATCATTCGTGAGAAAATCCAAACTGGTCTCATCCATCTTTTACCAGTTTCTTCTGCTGCTCAATTGGCAGATGTTCTCACCAAGCCTTTGGCAGCTCCCTCTTTTGATTCTCTTGTTTCCAAGCTTGGTCTATTAGACATCCATAGTCCAGCTTGTGGGGGGCTATTACATGATGAAAATAATTATGTTTTAGTTTGTTACTAAACAGTTAGTTTAGTTTGTTACAGTTTGTTGTAATTGTTTAGTTTGTTACTAAACAGTTTGTTACTTTAACAGTATATATAATACTGTTATGTACATTCCATAATATAATGAATACTATGAGTTTATTCCAAAATTAACATGGATGATAGTAATTCACGATCTATCAGGCTCTCCCGTTGTTGCAGCCTCAATGATCACACCGTTTGTTCCATCCCCCGGCTCAAACCGCGTGTCACAATCAAACGCAGGTGCGTGGCTTATTCTCCGTCCAATAGGAGGCTCCACCGCGAGTAGTTGTAGCTGGAAACCATGGGGTCGTCTCGAGGCATGGAGAGAGAGAGAGAGGTCCTATAGATGGCTTGGGTTACAAGGTAGATCTTTTTTCTGATAATGGACCTGTTAATGCAATTTCAATTGCTGAAGGCACAATGAGTGTCAAAAAAGGGTGTAAATTTTGCATTGATCAACAATATTGTTCTTTTTCCTAACTTCCATTGAGTGAATTTGACTGATTTTCAATTTTTGCAGGATATTCAACTCTTGATTTTGTTTAAGTCCATATTGTGTGCTTGAAGCTAAATGGCTTGTTTAAATTTTTAGTCACAATCACATAAATGCAAATGTGTTGTTATTTTTATAATCTATAAATGTAAATCCGGTGTATAATTGAATGTTCTTTTCTTTTTATTTCAAGATATTAAGACAATTATTTTAATTCTCAACATAATATCACAACTATACTATTGCTATGATATATGTTTTGGGCGCTTGCAAGACCCACGACAAAAGTTTCAATAGCAAACACCACAAGGAAAGACATGCATAATACGACAAAAGTTTCAATAGCAAACGCCGCAAGGAAAGACACATAATAAGTGAGACTTCATCTAAGTTGAAGCCATGAGATTGCGTCCTCCAAGATACCTCTCACTGTTGGATTTGTTGGAAATAATTTATATTTTAGGAATGTCTTGTTGACTAAGTCTGTTAGAGGATATTTTAATATTTTATTATATCCTAATATTGTGTATAAATAGTCTAGTAGTAGGTAGGTCAATGTATTCATTACTCCTTATTTTATATCCGTCATTTAATATATTCCTTTTGTCTTTCATCTCTCCTTTGTGCACCAACAATTCGTATCTAGAACTTCGGTTCGAAATCCACGGGAAAACACGGGAAACACGAGCGAACAATGAGGTGTTGTGTGATTGAGAATCACATTTTTTCTAATTCTGTGGGATTCGGAAAACACTATGCATTAGTGAGTTTTTAGTGAACTGCGCAAGGTTGAAGATGAATAGAAACGGCGATATCAGTTCCAAGCTTCTAGTGTTTGATGGAAAAAACTGGAATCATTGGAAGATCCAGATGCGTGTGTTGTTCGATTCTCAAGATGTGTTAGATCTTGTCAATGATAGCTATGCTTCATTAGCAACAGACGCGACGGAGGCACAGAAGACAACGCAAAAGACGATAAAGAAGAAAGATCATAAAACATTATTCTACATCCATCAATGTGTGGATGCGAATGTGTTTGAAAAGATTGCTGACTCTGAAACAGCAAAGGCTGCACGGGATACACTATTCAGATGTTACGATGGTGATGTATCAGTGAAGAAGGTGAAGCTTCAGTCCCTAAGAAAGAAATATGAGAATCTCAATATGAAGAACAACGAGAAGGTTTCCGAGTACATCTCTAAAGTGATTCTGATCACTAATGAGATGAAAACTTGTGGAGAAACCATTTCTGAACAAGTAATCATAGATAAGGTATTGAGATCTTTAACTTCTCAATTTGATTATATTGTGGTAGCAATTGAACATTCCAATGATTTGAGCACCATGAGAGTTGAAGAGCTGCAAAGTAGCCTAGAGGTGCATGAATTGTGTATGATAGAGAGAACTTCTGAGAGGGAAGTAGAGCAGCAGGCTCTGAAAGCAACTTCTGGTAAGAAGTATCAGAAGCAGACTTGGTCAGAAGCTAGAAAGAAAACTAATAGTGGTCAGAGGTCAGAAGCTTCAACCTCTGATAGGCAAAAGAATGTCCAGAAGGGAAAGGAGAAGTCTGATAAGAAGAATGTTCAGTGTTACTGTTGCAAGAACTTTGGTCACTATGCCAAAGGTTGTTAGTCAAACAAAGAAAAGAAGTCAAAAGAAGCAAATATAGTCGGAGGAGATTTTGATGATGAACCTGTGCTATTGTTGGCTTCTTATTCTGATGATAAGAATTCATCATAATGGTGGTATATGGACACAGGGTGTTCAAACCATCTTACTGGAAACAAGAAATGGTTGGTTGATTTTGACTCTGGGAAGAATACAAAGATCAGATGTGTTGATGACAAATATCTCAATGGAGAAGGTATGGGAAATGTCAGAGTCGTTCTAAATAATAGGAAAGTAGCAGTGATCCATAATATGTGGTATGTACCTGGCATGAAAAGCAATCTGATGAGTGTGGGACAACTGATTGAGAAAAGTTTTTCAATTACCATGAAGGATAATCTTCTGAAGCTGTATGACTGTAATCAGAAGTTGATTATGGAGTCAGAACAGGGAAGGAACAGATTATTCAAGGTGAATGTTAGAAATGCAGCCCTCCGAAATAAAATGGTTTTCCGCCTCTAGCACAAATAGAGTGGATGTGAGCGAGTAAGAACGGGGTGGCATTGATCTTTTTCCCAGTGAACGCGCAATGCAAAAAGAAGAGCTCCTTGGAGTTGAGCTTATGGTTGCTGTCGCGGGCGACGATTGTGTTGCTAAGTATGTGGTGGAAATAGCGGATGGCCGGATTATGAATGTGGGTGGCATTCAGGTGATCGTAGGATCCGACACGGATATTCGTCAAACTGTGCCATAAGTTGAAAGCTTCCTCACCAAAATTATCCGGCACCCGGAGGTGAACACCTTCGTCCGAACAAAAGCCTAAAAGTCGCGCGATGTCGGATTAAGGCAACTCGTGCTCAATGCCAAATATGCGGAATTTGGCCAGGCCTGACAGTTGGTTCGTCGCGCCTGGCGGAGTGATGTAAACAAATGAACTCAAGAACTCAAGAGTAAGAGTTTCATAGATCGGTCTTGGTTCGCGGCACAAGTTCTACAAATCCACACTTTGCAATAATTGGAGGATACTATCAAGTAGTCCCAAACTCCTCAGGCAGTCGATGTCAACGTACCTTGTGGGTTGGAGACCTCGACGTTGAAATTTCTGAAACTTTGCCTGTTGATTCTCTCCTTGTTCGCTGATTCTGAAAGTGAGGGCGGGAGCTTGTGGGTTGTTGGCCATGGTGTAGGTAGGTTTTGATTTTGGAATATGAAATTGGGGTACTGTGTGGATGGTAATTTGGTGTTGGGAGTTTAGAAGTTAGAAGAAAAATGGAGTGGGTAGTTTTTCCGTGTGATGTGGTAACAATTGAGGAAATGGGTTTATGAAGGGAATGGTTGGGAGTTGGAACGGTTCTGTAATAGCCGTTCTGATACATTGTATGTGTGACGGTCGTCACGAGGGTGTGACGGTCGTCATAAGGCAAAAAGGCGTGTTACGCTCGTCACAAGGGTGTGACGGTCGTAACGCGTTCAACGTCATTAATGAGACGACCGTTACAGGACCGTTGGGGGTGTTTATATATTTTTATATTTTATTATTTGCTTGGTAATAAGGTTTGAAATATTTTGAAGTATTAAATTTTTGAAATATTTTAATTAATTAAAGTTTTGAATATATTAAAGTAATCTAATAATTAAAGTTTTGTAATATTAGTTACCAGCACATAACGAAATAGTAATATTGCGGTAAACATAAACCGTAAATAAAAAGAAATAAACAGTATGCTGAAGATGAAAAGAAATGAAAATTAAAATAAACTTGGTACTTTAAATAATTGAATAAATTCATAAGAAATTGTTTCGAAATAACTAGAAATAAAAATGATAAAATACTGAAATAATAACTAGAATCCCTCCCACACTAAAACTAAACAGTGTCCCCACTGTATGTACAAATGCGAGAGAAAAGAATAGGATAATAATGGAAACTCTAGCCACGGGGAGGCAGAAACATATGCTGGTGCATGTAATCCAGCTGACCGGTCACCAAATCCATGAAGGCTATGAAGTCCACCCGGAGAGATGTCAGCTCGCCCCGCATGTCAGTAATTGCTTCATGTAAAGAGTGCAGGGTAACAGTAGGTGAAGGTGGTGTAACCTATGGAACCTGGGTGGCGGTCTCAGCGGAAGTAGCCTATTGTTCCCAAGGATCGGGGAACTCATGGTATCCTGGTGGTGTGGCAGGATCTTCATCAGCATTAGTAGTGTTTGGGACCTCGTAAATGTCAACAGTAGATGGTGAGGAGGGCGGTGTAGCAGGATGGTGAAGGTCAAAAAGCCAGTTATCTCTGTTATGCACACTGGTGATAGGGTCCGGAAGCTTAAACTGGTGGACGATCTGATGATTAATTAACAGCTCAAATTGATCTAGTCCAAGGTTTCTGATAAAGCTAGTGTTGAAACAGAATGTGATGTCCATCGGCTTTATTCCATAAAGCGGGGCTGATCCGAGCATAGGCCTGCGGAGTCCAATTGCATTTGATAGCATGGTAACTAAACCACCCAACAGGATTGGTGCATTTGGAGTCTGGATGATACGCTCCATATTAGCGAGCATATAAGCGGCACCGTTTACCGGACGGCTCTGGGATGCACAATACATAATGAATAGCTCATCGCGGGATACAGATGTGACATTCTGCTGTTTTCCAAAGATGGTGTGGGCGATGATCTTGTGAAAATACCTGATAGCCGGGTTATGGATGCATTCAGAATAAAGATCAGATGACTCAGGATGGTTATTACCAGCGATGCTTCCCCAGAAAAAATCAAGATCAGAGTCAGGAAAGAGGTCCTCCTGTGTCATAGTGATAACATCAGGTCCAAAAGGGAACCCAAGAAAATGGCTAAACTCCCTGAGGTTATAGGTGTAATCCATGTCAAACATCCTGAAAGTGACCAACCCACGGTTGAATCCTATCCCATGATTTGGAATGAAGCTCAGGGTGCTCAGGAACTCAAGGGTCAGCTTCTTGTAAGTACAGTACCGTCTTCGGATAGGAGCAGTGTCCCAACCAATCTGATGCATCAAGTACATGACACTCTCACGAATGCCAATCGCGGTCATAGCATGGTCATCTGCGTAGATAGTAGGGCACATTTCCCGCTCAGCCAGGTCCTCAAATCGTCTTCTTTGGTGTCTGCTTCTCAAATTGACATTCATGAAGTTTACACGGGCCATAGCACTAAATATGAAAGCAAAAGAATTACCCCCTGAAAATATTTAATAAATGTTTGAAAAAAAGGAGAAACTAAGTTAGTATTTTTGGGTTAAGAAATTGCCAAAGTTAAATCTAAAAGAAAAAGAAAGTTTAAAGGGAAAATAAAAACGGAAGAAAAAAATAGAAAGGAATAAGAGATGCAATCATGAAAATGTTTTAAAGATTAAGAAAAAGAAAAGAAAAATAAAAACATGTTAAAGCAGTAAAAATAATTAAGGTAAAAC